GTATAGTGTTAGGGTTTTTATTATGAACGATACAATGTATTGGGACTTGTTTATTGATCAAGCAAACGAGACATATCATCCCTTAGGGCCATTTCGGCCTTTATTTATAATACTCAATTCGTCGCTTACAAATGCGACTTATCTCTTAAACCTAATTAATCTATTTACACGTATTTATTTAATATCTGTAAGGATATGTAATTTATCCTCATATCCTCCCCTTATTCCTTATCTACCCTTCTGGATCAGAAATACCTTTTCCGATCCTAAATGTAACTTATTGCACTTATTGCATTTCGTGCATTTTTCACGTGATTGGTCACGGTATTCGGTATCACGATTTCCGGTATCACAATATTAAAGTAACGTTTCCCAAGCACAAAATTGGATTGGTAGCCACGAATGCAATCATCCAATCAAAATTAAAGCACCGCTATGCTACATAAAAGACGAGTAAGGTCAGGCCGATATTTCCCGGTTGAAAAAATTTTTAATAAAATTTATTATATACAGGTTTCATTTTTACACCCCATTCCTCTTTCTTTTGAGAAAGAAATGTAACGTAAACCACCGAATTAAATTAGTCTTGTCTAACTGGCAAACATTGCAGCCTAATCATAGTAGGCTGTCAGATAGTATCATTATTGAATTTTCGCACCAATAACTCGGTTAAAGGTGGTCCGTAGTTAATAAAAACTGAAGTGGGCTGTCGGTGACATGGCCGTTGTTACGACAAGGGAGAGCTTTTATATCTTCAAACCAAATTTAACTCAGTGCCACACGCATTAAATACACAACCCGTAATTTACTTCAATAGACAAAGACAAGTGAATCCTAAAAACCTAACTAGTACAAGAAAGAATACCATCTTTTATACTAACTATTAGACTCTAACTAATTATTATGCAAAACTTAATTGATGACTAACTATAAAATGTCGTCAAAGTATATATAGGTTAGATAATTATCTAAATATAATAAAGTTACACAAGAAAAAGTATAATATTAAAATTAGTTTGTACATACATCAAATTTTGGTGTATCGATCTTATTGCGATAATGCTAACCTTCGCGTATACTTATTTCTGCAAGTGATACAAGCCCAAAAAAGGGAAAATTTCTTTGTAGATCGCAGGATCAGGTGTAATATTTGTGTAACGTGAGATCGAAGATTTTTCTAATACCAACCTTTAACCTAGCCCTAACGCCGGTCAAATCTCACGCACTTTTAGCGAAATTACAATCATTTCCTTTTTTGGGCTTGTATCACTTGCAGAAATAAGTAAATCCTCCTAACCTTAACACCGCACAGCTGCCTTATTTGAAAACAAAGGCATCGATTTTTTGTCCAATTAGAACATGAAGTTCAGGCAGGACCCATCCCATTAGATTAATATATACGTAGTACGTACGTATTCATTGAAATTATTCATAATGTTTTTAAGAAGTGACCAAGAAGTCGAAGAAATCCAACATTATTTTAATGAAATAAATGAAAGGATTTCTCAACAAGAAAATGCGATTATAATTATTGGTAACCCAGGAGAGGGGAAAAGTACATTATTGGGCTATTTAACCGGAATTCCTCTGCTCAGTAAAGAAGATGAATTTGGTGATTATATTATTAAGTCTGATAATTCAAACGGTATACTTATCAGCGATAATACTGTTTCACAGACTTCTTTACCAATTTGCCGAGAAGTATATTGGGATTGCCCCGGTTTTGAAGATACACGGGGTCCTGTACAGAATATCGTGAATGCTTACTCAATTTATAAGTTAGTCAAAAGTGTAAAAAGATTGAAAATTTTACTCGTCATTTCTGAATCTACGATTAAAAGTACAAGAAAAAAAGAGTTCTTAAATCTTATTGATAACTTGGGTGAAACCTTTAAAAACATTGATGAATTAGTTCAGGGATTATGTTTAGTTATTACGAAAAGCGATAAACTCGATACTAGAAAAGTAAGCAACTGTTTCCATAGAATTCTTGAAGAATATGATAATCAAGAAAGTTTTAGTCAATCTAAGAGAAAAATACTTAATTTTTTATCCTCTTCTAAAAGTCAAATAGTTTTTTTTAACGCACCTCATAAAAAAGATCAAAATATTTCTGATACGGACAAAATTTTAATCTTAGAGGGTATAGAAAAGACTTCTTATTTGGAGAATCTAGAGCCTAGTATTTTATTGGATGATAAATCAAAACCTTATATTAATGACCTAGTCGAACGATTCTATGGTGACATAAACAATTATATTGAGCAAAAGTTTTATCCAGCGATTCAAAACTACTTTGGAGCGTTAATAGATACTCATATAGGCACTGTTAAAGAATTAAGAAATTCTTTAATTGACTTTTATAACAAATTTAAAAATATATATAATAATCCAGAAAAGTTTGAAGAAAATCTTCACCAAATTTACTTAATCGTTGAACTTATGAAAAGAAGTGATCTTAACGAAGAACTTTCTAAAAAAATTTCTCTATTAAATTTCTTTAAACTCGTTAAACCGGAATCGCTCGAAATTAAGGGGAATACTAGTAGTTGGTATAAACTTATATCTGAGTTAATTAAGGAGATAGATATACTTAAATCTTTTCCTAAAGTTCTTAATCAAGGACATTTATTAACACTCGAGGGCATGATTATTGGTACTGAAGATATTAATATTGCCATGAATGATCAAAAACTATCAGAAATAAATGTATTTAGCTTGAATAGCTTATTTATTGATGAGGATATAATTGCACCAGGAATTAACTTGACAATAATATCTCCTCAATGGCGTGTTGTGGGCAAAAGAATAATCAATTTAAAAGGTAATCCTGGCCCTCCACACCCATCAAATAAAGCAAAGGATGGAATAGGTGATAAAATTAATGATGAAATACCCAAGGAAAAAAGCAATGATGAACGAATTAACGATGAAAAAATTATTGATGAAATACCCAAGGAAAAAAGCAATGATGAACAAATTAACGATGAAAAAATTAATGATGAAATACCCAACGAAAAAAGCAATGATGAACAAATTAACGATGAAAAGATTAATTATGAACAAATTAACGATGAAAAAATTAATAATCAAACAAATGACGAAATATTAACCGTTGATGGTCAAAAAATTAATGGTGAAGACGGCCTACCTGGACTGCCTGGTTATAACGGAGGAAATTTTTATGGCAAAGGGAATACATTTTTTAATATTTCTTCTCTAACTATCGATGTTAGTGGCGGTGATGGTGGTCAAGGTCAAGATGGTGGTAACGGTGCTAAAGGATTTGATGGATCTGATTGCGGAGAGGTTTTTGTAAAAAATAAAAATGTTTCGGCTCTTATATCAAGGAAAAAAGTAAATTTATTTTCAGATGAAGGAGAAGCTCTCGATAAAGTAATAAGATATACCGAAAAGATTGTTAAACTTGTGTTAACCGTTAATAATAAACATGAGGAAATATATGAATTTTTTGATCCGGGGCAGAAGGGAGGTGATGGTGGACGAGGAGGAATAGGTGGTATAGGTGGAAGACCTGGATTTGTGGTACTTAATAGTTCATATAAGTTATTAGAGAATCCCAATATACTTAAGGAAAGTAAACAAGGTTTAAATGGAAAAGGGGGAAGACCAGGTCTTGGTGGAAAAAATGGACAAAAATATCGTGGAGTATACATTAATGAAAGAGTAATACCTGCGATAAGAGGTTTTATGGAATTTGATTCTAATCGTGCTATATCAAGTGGATTATTAGAGGCAACTCGAGCAGTGACACCAGCAGCATCATCAGCAACAATTACAGGTGCTGCAGTAGTAGGTGCTGCAGAAGCTTCGAAAAAGACATTATTTGAAAGAATTTTAATTGAAATCGGGTTAAAAAGTAATCAAGTAAAGCAAGTAGCATTTAGTGTTCCTGGAGCCTTGAGAGGCTTAAGTATAACCTTATCTGCTCAGAGTGCTTTTTCTGTCATAAGTGCATATTTATCAAGTCATTGGAAAGAAGCGCCACATGAAGTAGATCATGATGAACTTGACGAACGTGCTTCTGAAGGAAATTTACCTGTTGGGTTAAATGAGAATAATATCAAAACACCTTCAGATCAACTTTCATTTGAAACAAGAGAAAAAGAACAATTGTATAAGCAATTTTATGATCAAAACGAAGATTTTATATTTATTAAAGAATTGTTATATTTGGAAAAAGCTGCATACTAAAATTTTCACCTTTGCTAAAATATGCCTAACCAACTTGTTAACCTTCTATGATTGCCTAAAATATTGTTCGTGAAATTCATTTCTCTTTTTTTTTTTGTTTTTTTTTTGTTTTTACTTCCATATTTTGAAGTTTTCATTCTAAATGTCTTATATAAATAGCTAAAACTATTGTTTATGATCTCCTTGGTGGCAAAAAGATTTATCTATTTTATTTCTATATTTGTTATTTAGAGTATGCTATGAAAATTCAATAAAATATAATAAAAAAAATGTACAAATATATTAGTTTATTATTGAAGTTTTTATACTAAGAAGTTCTTATTAAAACTAGCGATATGCAATTCATAAGCTATCCAGATTTTTTTGGTGTACAGCACAAACATTACATAAGTATTTGAGAATGCTATAATGATTGTGAAGGTCGTCACTTTTTTCGGAATGTTTCAGAAATAAACTTTTAAAATAACTTGGTTTATTTTTTTGGAATGTTTCAGAAATAAACTTTTAAAATAACATGGTTTATTTTTTTGGAATCCAGAAAAACTCTTCTAGGTCACTACAATGGTATCTATGCAAGAATATGTAAAACAGACAAATTTTGCATGTATTTTGAAATAAATGTATGCAAGTATTTCCATTGTTAACCTTTAATAAACATATAATAGAAGTTTAAATAGTAGGTATGGTTCATAGAAAAAAATTCCTTAACTAAACATTTTTACTATAACCAACCTTTATTCTAAGATGAAAAAGATCAATGTTAGCATTCAACTATAAAAAAAGGTACATCTACAAATGATATTTTTTCAGTAATCGAGTTCAAAATGAACAACTAATAACACAGTCATATAAATATCAGGGCATCGAACTATGCAGTGGTTCATAATATTTGTTAGAATATTTAAAAGTTGATGCATAAGTAAATTCGTAAGAGTTTGTGTTTAGTTTTAGAACTGATGATATTCTAATAAAGAATACAATAGCAAGACCACTGTAAGTAGCCCATTTAATAACAATGCATACTGTATATATTACTAATCAAAATATATAGTACTATACTTGCTTTCATTCCTGATTTCTAGTATGACTGTGTCATGCAGCTACCTTATATATACTGAATGATATCTATCAGTTATCTGATTTATTCAGGTACCCGTAGGGCTAACCAGTTATATGTAGAGTTACCTGGTTATTTATAAGGTCTATCCAGAGTTATCTGAATGTAGCTTTTATAAAATGGGTATAGTAAAACGGGTAACTGGTTATCTGGATCCAAGCATTAAACAATACTATATAGTATTTATTCCTGAGTTTGAAATAAAAAGAATGGGAAACGAGCTAATAGTATACATGTGTGCCAAAATTGCCCATATTAATAAAAAAGTACTTACGGCATTTTGGCAGCCGAAATTAGTCTATATAGTGCCAAAATTAATTTTCATATTTGCTGAAATTATTGCCGAAATTTTCATTTTTTCAAAAATAATTTCAGCACACATGTATAGCCAACAGACAAATAAGAAGAAACCAGTGAGAGCAATGCTTGCTGTATATACAAAAAAAAAATTTATTTTATGCCAATCTTTGAACTGAAATTTATTCAAATAAATATTTACTTAGAGATTTATTATAAAAATTTTAAATGGGTAGTACCAGGAACGGAGTTTGTACAACGTACAACGTAGTGTATGATTTACAAGTACCCTTATGCAAGGCTGAAGATCGCTGAAGATCACTTCTGACCCTATCCGGATCCAATAAAATCACAGGATCTCATGTAACAAAACAAACGCGAAAAACATAAGAAATTGTAAAAAAACGTAAATAACACAAAAATTTACTATAATGACTAACTTCCAACCTCTAAGTAAAAGTTTTCAAAATGAAAATTTACTGATAAAATACGATTGTTAATGTTAGATATATAGAGAAAATTTTATATACTACGACCCATATCTTTTTGGCCGGCAGCCCGGGATTTTCTTGACATAAGGAATTCATGGTTTACAGGCAAGTTAAATATGCGTGTACAATTCTCAGCATATGATTGGGTAATCTGTCATCGTGACTTTGTGTAGCACCCCGAACAATACT